GGCCGGCTCGGGCCGTGGGGTCAGCGGGCACCGCCGCGCACGACAGCGCTGCCCCGGGGGGTGCCGTGCGTGAGGTTCACCGCGGAACAGTCCAGCCGCTGGAAAGCTCTCCGGAAACGTGAAGGGAATTTCACATCCCTGTCCTGTAGGGCAGAGACTGTGGAACCACAGCGCAGGCATCCCGATCCCACCCCGATCCCACTGCTGAGAGGGCGGTTGAGCCATACCACTGATGGAACAGGTCATGGCAAGACCCTGGCCTACCCACAGTGCAATGTTTAAGTGTTTGTGCACTCAGTATGTCACCACAAATTAATGCTCCTTTAGGTTAGTAGTCTCTGTCAGGTAAATAAACTATACAACGTTCTCTCATTTTTATCTGGCTTTGGTAACCTCATGGTGTGCTTCCTAGTTGTAATACTTTTTAGAAATCTAGCTACTCTTTCAGTGTTTGGCAGATTGAATCCGGCCCTGAAATAATTCACTGCTTTGTAATGAGCTGCCCTCATAAGTAATTCTAGAAAATGAAATAAAAGCAATGTCTTAGTAGCTAATAATCATATTCTATAGGTTTTTTCCAGTCTTATGCGGTGGAAGTAGATGTAAAGGATGGCGCTAATGCTACGTGCCTGTATGCAAACTGGATGATGAGGTTCTTGATAACATATGAAACAAACAGTAGTGATTATGTAAGTACTTGGAGGTAACTCTTGTTGACAACTGTTACTTTGTCCTAGGTGAAAGTTTAAGTACACTCTGTCACCGAGAGTCTTTGGTTTATTACTTTTTTTTCCACTAAGTCAGTGGAATACTAAGAGTATTCCTAAATATTCATTATAAAACAAAGCATAAGTTCCCAATTAATAATGCAAATAACTGAAAGTGCCCTATTGCACTTACTTAATTGATATATTGGTCAAACTTGGTGGGTTTTGTGTATCAGTGTTGTAATGTCCTTAGCCCATATAGTAAATGTAAATTGCAGCTCAGCACAGCCAAGATTTATAGCTGGCTTGGAGTTCTACTTTTGCTCGTGAATCTGCTGTGACTCCTTTCTTAGTCACACGTCAGGGAGCCTTTTTCTTAACTTTGTAGAACAACTTAAAGTAATCCCACTGATCTTGTGCAAAGCCCTGTCCAACTCCAGCAGGTTTATAGCGTTGTCATGGGGAAGAACTGTCTGTGAAAACATTTAAACCTATCCTCCTCTTCTAGAAAAACACAACCTTGAACCTATCATCCAATGTGACACACGATGGAAGCGTCTGTGGCAATGACACACAAGCTGCACTTCTGGCAGTACAGTTTGGAGAAGGTCACTCTTGGAGTGTTAACTTCACAAAAACCAATGAAACTTACCAGGGGGACTTCATCACATTTACCTACAACACCAATGATACCACTGTATTTCCTGATGCTAAAAGAAAAGGTAATGTTCAGTGCAAAATCCTTTTTACAGAACAGTCCTGGCTACAAGTGTCAGATCTCGTGTCCCTGACCTTGGGTGGCTTTTTCAAAGTTAGAAGGACTGATAACGTATCTAATAACTTCTATGGCCATGCACTGCCTAACTGTTCATCATACCTGCCTGTTGGATAAGAATACAGCCTAGTTAGCTTCACTAAATGTGTGATTCCGTGAAGTGGAATGAAAGAGGAAAGTTAACTGTTTGAACAGCCTTGATCAGTGAGGTGCTGCTAGTAGGCAACAAGCATATGGAAGGTTCATTTTAGGACTTTCCTCCTAGGAAAGCAATACAGTTACGTGTTAGGCCTTCCACGGACTAATACATGCTAATAATAGGATTTGGGTTTTTTTTTTTTCCCTTAAATTATAAACTTAGATAAAAGGATTCCCCTTTCTAATGGCTTGTCTAGTTCTGGAAGCACAATTACTTCTCTGCATTACTTAGCACTTCAGGTCAGGACTCATAGGTAAAACATGCAGGAGAGATTAGGTTTGTTCAACTTAATTAATTACATTTTTGTCTTATCAAATAAAACATAACACTACTTATAAACGTTCTTGTAGTTCATAAAGCTTTAAAATATTTGTGTTTATTTGTAGGACCAGTTACTATTGTTGTAAAGGATACTATGCAGCCAGTTCAACTGAATAACGTCTTTGTGTGTCATAATACCGACTTCCTTGAAGCAGAAAGCGTAACGCAGATTTTCTGGAATGTTACTGTGCAGGCTTTTGTTCAGAATGGCACAATTGGTAAAAAAGGTGAGTGTTTCCATTTGTGAATGAGCTTTTTTTATACTGTGTGTATAAAAAATGTGCAGGGAGCAAAGCCACATAATAAAAAATCCACCAGTTTGAAGATATGCTGTGTAGAATAACACCCATGTAAATATTCTTTAGTGCATCTTTCCTTGTTCCTGGAAAAATAGATAAGCAGAACAGATTCAGTTTGGGTTTTTTTTTAATACATAGTGATGTAGATTGTTCCTGTGCCAAGCTGATAGTGTAATAAAGTGTGTATTCCAGTTAGTGAGGTATTAAAAATAAGCACTTCAGAACTACTGTTGCTGACTAGATCAAGGTTTTTAACTGACTGCCTTCCATTTGCAGTGATAGCCTCTCTTTTTATTTCATTTAAACAGTCCAGAGCCTGTCAAGAGATGAGCACATGATCCTGCTACATATAACTTAATAGGGTTGCTTACTTTGTCTACAGCAAATACATATCACGCTTTTATAAGCGTCTGGTTTTGTCTGTGTATTTCACTTTTGTGTGTTGGAGTTAAGCAGTACTACATATGCTGCATGGATTCAAAACTGAGGGCATTACAGGATTTCTGAGAATAAATGATAGCTGTAAATTATTTGGAATACTGCACCATGGTGTTGAGTTTAAGGCGTCTGACTTGATTAGCAGGCCCCCAGTGAGCCTAGATTTCAACAGAGAAATTGGTATCTGTATTAAACTGACCTCTCAGTTGTAAGAGTTCAATAAAATTTCAGCACTGAAATGGTGATTAAATTTCTTTTCAGAGTCTAGATGTCGTGCTGATACACCTACTTCTGCACCTCCTACTGGTGCCAATGTAACTACTGCGTCTCCTACCACTGCATCACCTGCTCCAACTACTGCTCCCAAACCTGTAGAGAATCCAGAAACTGGAAACTATTCTCTTAAAAGTGGAAATAAAACTTGTCTTCTGGCTAATGTGGGACTCCAGCTGAACGTTTCCCAAGACAAGGTGCTTCTCTTCTATTTTAAGAGTATAAAGGTGGTTGTAGTTACCTGGTATGAAATCTGAGTGCAGGGGATTGGCTTTGTATGCTGCTGGCTGTCCAGAACTGCTTCTAAGTATTGTACATAATCTGACATCAAAATACTTTTGAGGCATAGTATTTAGCTTTAAAGCCTTAGGTGGATTCGATGTAACCTGTTGCTGGGAGTACCTCTAACATCATTAAAAGCCTGAAACTTCCAAGTTTTTAGGGCAGTTGGTCGCTGCAGATACGGTCTTTCCCCACAGAGGGAGCCAGAGCTAGCCTGATGTATGGGTAAAAAAAATAGGACCTTACTGGGCAGTTTGTTTGCTTCGGCATTACCAGCATGTAAACTTAACTCAAGTAACCTTGGTTTGGTTAAGCCTAGGTTAATCTTCCTGCTGCCATCTCCAATGACAAACTCGTCTAGTCTAAGACTGTTACTGACTGAAACAGTGTCTTCCTGATGGCAGCTGAATGGCCTTGATGTGGTATGTCTGTGTTTCAGCCTCTTCTGATCAACATCAACCCAAAGACAACTAGTGCAGATGGTGTCTGTGGTAACACAACAGCTACTCTGAAACTGAACGATGGAAATAGCACACTGATTGGTTTCACGTTTGTTGTTGTAAGTAACTTCTCTTATTTTAAACTAGATTTCCACTGCAACAGCATTACATGATGATCACTCACAGTAAAACCCTTCAGTCACTTGCTGGTGATAGTCTGTTCCCATATAGGACATGGAGCTGGCTAGCTCACTGCCTCAAGACAAATGAAATACTGGGTTAAAAGTTGTAGAAACTGTAAGACTGTGGTAAATGCCCTGGTAAAGCATGTGTTCTTCAAGTTAAAAATGCAGAATGCACACTGACGCTTGGTTCTTGCTTCTTAAACAGAAAAATGTAAGCACAACTGCACAAAAATTTTACCTGAAAGAGGTGAATGTTACACTGCTCAATCGTCTGAATGGTTCTGGTAAGAAATTGTATCTGCCTTAAAGCAAGTCTTAAGTTTTTATTCAATGTCTGTATCTATCGAACGCTTCTGACTTTTTTTCAGTGCTGTTCATGCTTACTGTTACTTCCTGCTTTAAGTTATGTTAGTAGGAACAAGAGTAATATGCGGAAATAGCTGTAAGAGTTACTTTAAACAGCAGTGTGGGATTGTTTTCTTGTCCTGAAACTTCTGCTAATGGGGTGTTTATACAAATTGAGTGTGGTGAGGCACTAGAACAGAGAAGCTGTGGATGCCCCATGCATAGAAGTGCTAAAGACGAGGTTGGACAGGGCTTTGAGCAACCTGGTGTAGTGGAAGATGTCCCTGCCTGTGGCAGAGGGTTGGAACTAGATGCTCTTTAGGGTCTTTTTCAAACCAAACCATCCTATGAAATTGAGAGCTGCTTTATAATGTTTCCAGTAACAAATTTTTGAGGGGTGAAATACAGTTGTACCAGTGATGCTTTTTGTTATTCCTAAACCAGCTGTTGTCTTTGACTGAAGATGCTGCTGTATCTTCTAACTACTTCTACTTAATTCTCACTGGGAAGAGAGACAAGTGCTGTAAAAACACAAACCAAATGGAAAGTATGGGTTTGGTTGCTTTTTTTTTTTTTTTTTAAACTTTCTTGTCATGTCTACTGCAGTTAAAAGGGCACTAGAGCTAAAACACCCACAGTGTTGGGATAAATGGAGGCACAAGAAAAGCCTGTGCAGAGGATAGGTTACTGCTAAGTACTATAGTAAGTTCAGTGCCTGATTTCTCTTGGTTAAGCAGATCAATCACACTTTAGACTACCTTGTTTTTCAGAGTAGTCAGTGTTGAAAAGCTGACCCCTCTAGTCCTTAGTCTTATGATTGTATTAGCAACATTCTTGCATTTGAAGTGGACATACAAATTTCTTTTTACTTCCCCCCCCCTCCTTTCTTTGTTTAGTCATCTCAAATGCAGATAACAGCAATTTCAGCAACTGGGATGCTTTCCTTGGTACTTCTTATATGTGCCAGAAGGAGCAAACTCTTGAAATTAGTGACAATATTCAAATACATACATTTAATCTATGGATTCAGCCATTCCTTGTGGAGGAAAATAAGTTCTCTACAGGTAAGAGTTCTTTTGTTAATTCCTGCAATGCTTGCAAAATTCTTACTTGCTAAAAAGCACCAGCTTTGGGTACAAGCACTTTATTTTGGAACCTCTTGTTTCACTTTTTAAAAGTGACACATGGAATGAAGAGGAATTGTGAGACTGACATTCAAGGAAAGCTTTGTTCTCACTTAAATATCTGCTACGTATGTTCATTGTCCTTCATAAGACTTGAAGGAGCTAGAGACCCTCTGAGAGGGACTTAAGCATTGCCTTGCAGAATAGGTTAGAATACCATCTTGACATACAGCTTTTTGTAGCTCGAATATGTAAGAAAATGGGGCAAAACCTAAGCACAAGTGGACTTTGGTAACACTGTTAGGTGTTTAGGTTCTTTTTACCCGTCAGTCTAAGGAACAGGAGTGTTGAGGGGTGGGGGGGAAATGAACTGACAGAGCTTCTTTCAGAAGCAGTCTTGAATATCCAGAACTAAAGAAAGATTCTGAAATGTTTGTATTTATCCTGGTCTTGTGTGTGGAAAACTGGAAAGATTTAAGTGACCTCTTTCTTAATCTTTAGTAACCTGGTCTTTGTACTTAATGATAATACCTGCACCACAGCCTTATTAGACTGTCTATCTCTAGACATGTAGATTGGGTGCACATTTTTTTTACTTCCTTTTTTTTAGGTAGAGGCAAGTTAACTCCCCAGATGCATGCAGGGTAAACAGTACTGATCATAATACATCTTGTAGACTTAGGGTCCCATTTAATGCTGTAGTTCAAGTTGCAGGGAGCTTCCTTCTCCTCGTTAGAGTTATTTCATCTCTCTGTAACATGTCTCCATTCTGGATAGGTTCTTCATACCAGATCATGGTCACTTTACTCGTAATGAGTAAAAGCACCAGTCTTGCCTTAATCATGAAGTAGATGAGCCTGGTTCTGTCTTAAAAGTAGAAGAGTGGCTACTCCCTTGTCGAGTACAGATCTTGTGCACGTGAAAGCTCATACACAGTTAGCTTACTATAGTTTATCAAACATTCCAAGTGATTATAACACTTAGATGTACCCATGAGACCTCTGAAGGTCTTAGTCTCTCAGTTCAAAAATGTAATAGTACTTCGTTTTTGAACCTTCAGATTCTTATACCACACTTGGCAAGTATTCTGTCTTTATTTATTCCTTGTTGCAACATTTTTTTCCATCTACAGCCCAGGAGTGTTCGCTGGATGATGACGACATTCTCATCCCAATTGTAGTTGGTGCCGCACTTGCCGGCTTGATTGCCATTATAGTGCTTGCTTACATAATTGGCAGAAGAAAAAGCTATGCTGGATATCAAACTTTGTGAATCTAAGTGTGATTCCTGTTCTGATTTCACTCTAAACAAAGCAAGTGCAAGTTCTGAAGTCCAAAAAAGACCCAAAACTTAGGAGTAATTACTAGCCACAGCTAACTGGAGTTGAGAAACAAAGAGAATGTTTATCTCAGATGAAGCAGAACTACGTTTTTAGTTTTCCTGCTCTAAGAAGACGACGTGGGTTTCATAGCTGTTCTGAAGATGTCAAATACAGAATGAATTGCTAGGCTAAGGATTTTATCTTGCAAAAACCCTAAAATGTTTAGGATTTCTTTCTGCTTTTTACAAAGTGTAGCCTGAAACAAGAACACATTCTAAACTAACATGCATTGGGCAACTCCCAGAATAGCATAGAATTTGTACTTGCTTCTCTCCTCTGCGTTCCTTAGTTGTTGTCATAACTGTGGGTTCAGCTGGCAGTATTAGTCACTATGTTGACTTGTATAGTATTTAACAAGGATTGTATGATGCCCAGTAACAACTTTGTTTTTCATAGAATGGAACTTGAGGCTGGTGATTAAGTGATCTTTTGAAGTGGCAGCAGTAACTTACTTAGCTTTGACAGAGTTTGAGTAGTTTACTCCTGCCTTGGTGTAGTTTCAGGAATCATTCCTATACCCTGGCTGTACAAATAAAATGGGTAACCTGTACTTGCCAAATGGTGGATATATGGGAAGGCTTCAGTGCCGTTCCCAAATGCTTTCAGAAAAAAAAAAAAAAGAAAAAATTTCTGTTAGGCACTGAATTCTTCATCACTTATTATACCTTGGCAGTCATCTAAAATACTCAACTGAGGCAGAGTTCTGCTAAATTAATGCAAGCTTTTCTGCTGGCATCAGTTTAAAGGGAATAACCTTTCTAAATATTCAGAACTTTAAAGTGCACTTAACTTTATATCATACTCTGCACAGAACTGGTCTGTCTTGTTGCTTTGAATGACCATTGTTTAAAGATGCTTTCATTTAATGAGCCAGTATCTGTTGTTGCAGCTTGAGCTGTCTTTAAATCTTCATCTTGAATGGTTCTCTGCCAATCAAAATTCACACTATAATGGCCCGCCATTGGCATTCTGAATGTTTAATGTACTTTGTGTTTGATTGTTTGCTGTGTAGCATTTATTAATGTTAAGAATGGAAAAGCCAAACAAGTCTGAGATGGACCCACAACACCTGTTTTTCCTTGCTCTATGGAAAGGATAACTAGCTTAACAAATGCAGTGCAACTGGACTGTTCTTAAACTGCAGCTCTGTAGAGACTAACCCTTGCTGCACAACTTCTCTCTGGTCTCCATGTGCTCTAATACAGTTCTTACTGCATGGGAAAAAAAACCCAAGTCTTTCAGACTTCTACATAAGTGTGGCTTTTTTGCATATGTCATAACATGAGCTGCCTAAACTGGTTATTTAATGAACATAACATTGTCTCCCTCTTTAGAATGAGTTTAGCCTGCATCGAAGCTGGTTTAATGTTTTATTAGTGTTTTCTAGGGTTGTAGAGATGTCTGTGGCATGTTTGTATACAAATCATAAAATATGCTTCTTTCAGTAATTTCTTTTATTTCTTTGTAAAAACAGTTTACTCCTGACACTAGCCAAGGAAGCAAGTATGGGTGGGTAATGCTTACTATAGCTTGTAGTCTACAGCTTCAATTTTGCATCAGTTACTGAAATTCATTTTAATGAAAGTGAGGAACTACTATAAGTTTAATCCTGAAACAGGCTTCAAGACTTACCGTTTTAATTAAAAAGAAGTGGATCTGATGATTTGCATATTAATATATCCTCAAATGCAGAAGTTCGTATAGATTTTTAGCATTTTTGTGACGGATGTTCCGTGGCACCAGTTACACGTGCATTTCTGTTAAGGAGTAGTTACCACACTGTACTCATCTGACCATGCCAATTTTTGAACTGTGCACAGTTTCCAATATAGAAGATTAGTGTGGACTGCTCCCAAAATGCAACAATACTGGGAGTGTCTTTGCAAAAGCCTTCAACTTACTCTTTGTGTTCAAGTATATTGGCTCAGAGTTTCAAGTACTCCTAGACTGATGTGCAGGTAACTGGTTCAGAAAACATCTAAGTTTCACCTGAATGCCTGTTGTTATAAAACCACTAGTTTTCCTGTATGTATTGCTCCATAGGGAACTGTCAACCTGTTCAACATGTGCTCTAAATAATAAAGATTGTTCTATTTCTTAAGGAAATTTGTTCACATTTTTTAACCAATTTGAAAAAGGACGTCTTGTACTGTCTTTTCTAAAAGAAAATAAACTAAATGAGTAAGGTCAACTTCAGTCAGTCTACATCTGAGATTCTGTTCTGTAGCTGGTGAAGGTGCTCCTTTGTTGTTTGTGTCTTAATACCTTGTTTTGCAGCACATTCTGGCCCAATCCACTGCAGATGACAGTTGGGAACCAGTTGAGACACTGTCCATCTGGTTCATCATTTGAAATTTGCATGTCAACTTTTTTTGTCGATTGTCTTTGCATCCAGACAGGGTGTTTTTAGGGTTGATTTTGGCCGTCTTAAATGGGTGAGCTACGAACAGCTCAGTTTCTCCTTGCAGTTGCCCTGGGAAATTGAATTGGTGTCTGCATTCAGCAGCAGCAGGAAAGCCTTAGGGAGCTGCCTGGGAGTTGGCTAGTAGTTTCATCCTCTGTGACAGAGGCTGTGTTGATCCTGTTTGTGCTGCTGGTTCTTCTGGTGACAGTACTACTACGTGCTATTTTTCTGAATCCAGAGAGACTACTCTGCCTTGTACCATACCTCTTTCAGCCTGTCTTGTGAACTCTATGGCCATATGACAACAGGAAAAAGTGCAGTTTAATCCTGTACCCTTTCTTCTCGGTTCTAGCCTGCACTGCTTATGTAATCACTGTGTTGGAGCTACCTTCTTATCTGCTACACAAGGTCAAAATAACGTTAGCACCTTCCTGAAGTGTAAGCTGAAGCTTTTTTATGGTGAAGAACATGAGTATTTTAATAGGCTCTTGTTAAAGAACTTAGCAGTGGGGTTCCTAAGAATGTAAATCAAAGTTAATTTAACCTACAGTGGGACTGCAGACATCACATTATCAGTACAAGTCAGGCTGCAAGAGTCTGCAGGAGTTACTACTGCCATTTTCAAGACAGTATATAATGGCATTGCAAGTCTGTTAGTTATGATGTTTAGGAAGGGGAACTATTGCTTTTGTGTTTTGGGAGGGGGTCAGGGCTTGTGGATGGCTGACTGATGTCCTGCTGGGGAAAGGCACAACTGGTTTGAATAATTAGAGGGAGATGATAATGTTAAATACTTCTATTCAAATGCATTTCTTTTTCAGACTTGCCCTGTTTTTTATTTAGCTGAAGTCTGTAGCCCAGAGGTAGACAGCTTAGTTGTACCCACAGCAGTAGGAACAGCTTTGGGAGGATTAGTTGTCCTAGTACATTCTGGCTTACTTTCTTGGTTACAAGAAATGCTGTAATGTTGGAGATGAGTATTTTTTAAATGGGAAAGTTTAACTTTATTTGGAAAATACTCTGAACTCAGAAGATGGCCTGCTTGTGGAGCCAGGCAGCCGGGTTGTTAAAAATGATGAAGTGATGCAATAAGTATTGTTAGGTTCAAACATAAACTATGACAACTTACAGTTCATAATCTATTGATTCATTAATTCCACTTCTGCCAAACTATTGCACGTTGCCTCTCAGAATATTAAAGACATGCAGTGGCATCTGAAAGAAATAGTTTTGTTCTGGTCTGTAGAAACAGCGTTTGACTTGAGTGAGCTTGTGGGTGTTGAATATTAATGTGTATAACCTGTCCTAGACTGGGCTGTGGTTTGATTACTATTGACTGAGCCTTACATAGAGTTTACTGAATACTAAAATTGTGCTCTAAGATACCGAGATTTCTGATCTTTAAGCTGAAAGGCGCCATCCAAGCTCCTGCTCCTCAGAAGAAGCTTTTCCAGCCAACGAACACCTCTTTTCTCTTTTTTTCTTTTTTCTTTTTTTTTTTTTTTAATTTTTAAATTTACCACAGTGTTTTCTGTGGTGCAGCATATACCAATAAACCCACAAAATCTGGGGCTGTTGGTTGCATCTCATGATTGGAATTAAAAGGGAAGAGAGTTTTTATACTAGGGTTAAAATGTTGGGGGTGAAAATTTCTGGTATTTTAAATGGAGACATGTTCAACCAAACACATGGGAAGAGCCTTTCCTGCTGGCCTTGGTACGGAATGTGCTAGTTGGGGTGCGCACTTACCAGGTTGTGCGTCTGAAGATACTGCTGTGGACCTTCTAACCACTGCACATGACAACACATGGACAGACGTGTGCCAGCAGCAGTGGCAAACTGGAGAGAGGTAAAGGATGGAATGTTCCTGGTATGAAACTTTAAGCCCTTTTTATCCTGGGAATCCCTTGTGATGGTGCCATGGTGTGACGCATACGGCAGCAATCTCCTTCTGAGGGAATTTCTGTCGCTGCCTGCTGGGGACCTTTCATCCTTAGGAAATCAATTCATGTTTAGTATTAATGACCTGTTACACAGCATGCAGTAAATTGTGTCTGTTGACCTTTGGTGAACAAAGATGACTAAATTTCAAATGCAGGTCTCTTTTTAAGATACTTGCACACTTTCTCAGTAGTCAGAATATTTTGGAATAGCTCACTGTGTAAGGTACGTATTTCCTTTCCACATTTTTTCCCCTTCCAAGTGTTGCTCTGCTTAGCAGTAGGTACCTTCAGATCGTCCAAGTTTAGTATTTTCAGGTGCTGAACCTCCATGTGGCATGTTTGGTTTTTTCCTCTTAACCAAAGGCCTTTCATGAAGGGGTGTTGCACTGTAGTGAGCTGAATCAAAGCAATGAATTTCCCATAACTAAGGCTGGTTCAGTTAGAGGCTCAAACAGTTCAAATACTCACTTCGAACAACAACTAACTTTAGATAAGGCATTGAGTGTGTGCATGACACTGCTCTAATACAAACTGAAGCATAGAAGTTTTATAAGGAGCTCTGCTTTGTTAAAAACATGGAAACCAAGCACCCTTACAGCGCTGAAGCAGTACACGGACAGTGCCATCTCTTAACAAAACATCTCATCTTGGCATCACGCGGGTGGAGCTCTGCTCTCTTCACAAAAGCAGACGGCGGCCAAGCCCTGCCTCCATGCCTAGGGTGGACCACTGAGTTGGAAATCAGTTCCCAAGTGCTGTTTGCTAATCCTTGCATAAGTGTTTGTACCAGCAAGGAGTTCATCACGTATTTATAACCTGTGTATTAAAATCCACCGTAGCATTACAGCTGTCTCTGTGGTGATTTCGGTAAGGTCTGTGTAGTTTTCAGCTGAAAACAATAACCCTTTTCTTGTACTTGGATTGAAACTAAAGTTACTCACTGAAAGAGAGAGTTTTTCAGTGTGTTGCATTCAGTGCTTTCAGCATATGTACCTTGGGTGTCTCTTTGTCACTTGGTGCTGTC